TTCAAGTACGTAGTAAGTTGAGTGGTGTCGGAATCAGACAGGTTGTACAGGAGAGAGTAGCGAATCTTGTCAGGACCAGGGGATGTGTTGCGGCGAATGTCGGTGAGTGCAGCGCGAATCTCAATGTCCGTGATGGGCGCGTTAAGATAAGGAAGATTGTTGGGGGGACCCGTGTAGTCCGCATAGCGTGGGGTGTCAGGAGGGGGAAGGTAACGCTGTCGTAGCTGTGTGAGGCATTCGGAGTCTGTTAGGTTAGTGGCCTGGAGAAGTTTGTATATGCCCTTGGCCCTGTCCGATTTGGCTTGGCCTGGTTGTATTAGATGACGGAGTAGGGACCATGTTCGTGCAGTACCGAGCGTACCATTGAACTTGTCGCAGAGCGTATTCCAGTTTTGACCAGTGAGGTTGGCAGCATAGGTAGCAGCATCTACAGTGAATTGTGCAATGCGTAGTTTGAGCTTCCGGTTGTGTCGTTGACGTCGCCACCGCTTGGTTAGACCGCGGCGCGCTTCCCATAGGTGAAGAAGGTGGGAGTCTATATCCGGCGCTTCGGGAGTGGTGGTAAGGGTGCGCGTGTGTCGGTCTAGCCGGGTTTGCAGTGTCTGCACCCAATCCGTGAGTGTGTCGGGCAAGGTAGAAGAGGAAGATGCGCGGAAGGCAGGCCAGTCCGTGATGCGGATTTTGCGTGCCTCACCCGCGAAGTCTTTGGTGTTGATATGGGTGACAAGAATGGAATGGTCACTGCCGAGCTGCTCTTCAAGGTTGTGCCAGGTGCTGGGTTTTGTGCCTCGGTACAGGGTGAGGTCAGGACACGTGTCCCGTGCAACGCTGGTGCCAAGACGTGTAGGTGTCGATGGATCAGTAAGTAGAGTGAGATTGTGCTGTTGGATCAAAGTGTGTAGCTTGCGCCCCTTAGGTGTGTCGCGAGGGTAGCCCCAAGTGGGATGAGGAGCGTTGAAGTCGCCTGCAATGAATGTTGCGCAATCCGTGCGCCGTGCGGCTTCAAACAGCGTATCAAACCGTGCGTAGCGGTCTTGGGGGCGGCTATAGACATTGAGTAGGCGGAGAGGTTGGGTGTTACGCTTGCGTGGGGAGGCGGGAAGGAGTTCAAGTAGGACATGAGGAACGGCCTGGTTGTCTAAAGTAAATAAATAGAGTTAGTTTTACAAAATAGAAGACACCAGGAAGAAGAAAATAGCCGAAAAGAAAACACGATTCTTTGTATGACCGGTCGCTAGAACCACTAATAAACGGGCGAGGCATGTACAAATATACGAAAGACAAAGATCAAGTAAGACAACGCCGAGTAGTCTCTCCGTCGCCTTCCATCGTGTTTTTCTTCTCCCGGCAGGAAAAAGCTTTTCGTCTTTATATTTTGTTTTGTCTTTTACACGGTTTCACCCTTTCCAACTTTTTCTTTTTCTCCCGCCAACTGCAGATATCAAAATCGGGCCTGTACCTCCTCAATTTGCGAGTACACGACCCGCGTAACAGACGTTATAGCCTCGTGCGAGGGGTCGAATTCTCTGTCTTTGGTGTACGGTACTGTACTCTAGCACGCTCTTGAGGCATGGCTGAAAAGCGCCCGGCGTGAGGCTAAGATCGTCGTTTTTGAGGGTACGGACGATACTTCTTTTGGTTTACTTGTCTGGGCATGGTGGTCGAGTCCGCTCCTCACTTTACTGTCAACTGTCAACATAAAATGGGGGGGAGGGGGTTCACCCATCTAAAGAGTGCTGACAGAGAGAGAGGGAGAACGTGCAAAAGTGGTGCGATGCTCTATTGTTTTGTGAGACCGATGGCCACCGCTCCTGTCGCTCTCTATGCCCTCCTCTACCCCGCAGGCTCCACAAGTACGGATGTGAAAGAGAGAACCGATAAACGATCGCTAACCCGTAACCGCCCCTGTTGCTCTGACTGGTCGAGTTTTCGGTCATTAAGTGCCCGCCGACTCCATGGCCATTTTGTAATGGGATGTTCAAAATTCAATTTATTAAGGAGAACGGAAACCTAGAGTTTCAATTCATACGTTGATTGCCAAAACAAACAACAAAAACACATTGTCGTTAGCAAGAACAAAATACTCTAATCTACGGAAACACATCAAGGTAAGCAGGGACCCCTGCATTCTGCATTGGCTGTACATTAGAAGGTTGGAATTTTTTTTTTTTTTTTTTGTGAATAACAGTTGATACACCCGAGTTAAAAGGGAGTTTTCGCAGATCGTTTCTGTAGCTCCGAATCTCGTAGCCGAGTTAGACGCTGCTACTGAGCATGCGCACCGCTAACTTTGTCCGCACGATTCCAGGGATCATTTCCGGAGGCCGTAAGCTAGCGGGAGGACGGGCGTGGTTGCAGCCTTCGGCATCTGCGACCTCTTAGAACAGAGTTCCTTGGAACCTCTTAATAATCTCTTACCAGGAGACGACACACTGGCGCCATCTACTGGGTAGCAATGCAAACTTGGCGGTCTGGCTTATTTTCTATTTCTCTCGCACATTATCCTCTCTTTCTTGGCTCGAAAAACTTCTTTCAACGTTATCAACGAGCCTTTCTCAAAGGTATTACGCATATTTGATTCCTGAAACCCGCAAAACCTTCGTTCTTGTGAAATACAGTTGCAAGGTCACCGCATAAATGGCGCCAGCGTACCAGTGTGTTCTCTCGTCCTAAGACATTTTAAGAGGTTTCAACAGGTCTCGTCTCTCTCGGTCGTACTTGATTGCAGGTGTGTGAACGGGCCTTAAGAATTGAAAAGTAGTTTGGCGGAACATTTTTGAAAAATATCAAGATTGTTTCTATTGTTTTCAGGATACGTGTACGTAAAAAGTAGCGTGACGGCAAGTTGTAACGTAACGAATAAAGTAATCCGTTACTTTTCAGCAAAAAGTAACTTGTAAAGGTAATCCATTACATTTGAGGCTTCGTAATGTGTAATTGTAATCCCTTACATTTCTCAAGTAACGAGCACAAGACTGACTCCTATACTCACCCTGTAGGCCTGAAAAGCCTCAGGAAGCAACCGTTATTTTCAAGTAAGAAGACGTGATGGGTGGTTTACGAGGCTTCGGCTTTAAATTACACTTCAGATACGCGGTCATGGCGAAAGCTTCGCTGGAGTGCACTTGAGGTTAACAACCTACTCCTTAAGACTTCGGTCCCGAAGTTGCCACCTTAAATGGGCATAAACAGTCTTCAGTATAGTTCAAGAAATCTAACAACAAATACTTGAAAGAAACTTTGCCAACAGATTCCTTAAGGGGTATTCACACGAGGGAGAAATCTCGAGGATTTCTTAGCGGCATGCGCATCCCGCGACAAAAACGTCAGGCTTTGCGGTGTGCAAAAGCCTCGCGTTTTCGTCTCGTGATGCGTGATGCGTGTGAGTACCCCTTTAAATTCAGGGATATTATAGAACAAGCTATTCTAGTGATAGGTGAAATAAATAATCAGATAATGAATGTGTATTCCTTTTCATTTCTTTCCACCGATAGTATTTTAAAGGGATGATACTTTTACGTAGAGTACTCACTAATATATTAAAGTAGTGGACAATAATTTATCTGAAACATGTAGTTTCAAAGTGTGCGTTTAAAAATAGGTATTTTGTACACAAAGAAACATTTTTAGAAGTACCTAAAAAATAATATTTGACACAGCTCCTGTCCGATTTTTTTAAAATTCTAATACTGAGTACGCGAAGCAAAACTACCTCTAATGTTAACATGATTAACTTAAAAAAATAAAAGCGCGAGAAATTATTACTTGTTGAATAACGCAATGAATAATTAATCTGACTCTATTAGTTTGCCATAGAATTTCAAAGATCACAAGGCATGTGTTAGCGAAACTACGTTTGAGTATGCATTTTTATTTTTTTCTAATTATTAGAAACCCGTTTAGTAGCCACAATGCTTGACACTGCAGAACCAAGGCCTTATATCAATAACTTGTAAAAAAGATCTTTCGTGCTGCTACAGATATATAAGCGACCACGTGTTAAAAAAACACTTTCTTGCTGCTTATTTATGCCTATTAGCTCGAGCCTAAATGTAACGTTAAACTTTGCTACTCTAATGCACTGAGTATCAACCGAAATACGAATGACGCTAAATGTTTGCAGTTCTCAATTAATGGGAGTTTGTTCCTGGCTTAGTAAAAGAATCAGGCGTAACGTACAGTATAAGCGTTACAATTGCACTAAAAGGGAGGCTGAAATTAAGTGTTACTTTTTCGAAATTCCAAGACAATGTTCAGTCAATAGAAGGAATCATAAAAGACCAAGTTCTCAGAATTCTAAAAGACCAAGTCACGCAACTTTGCGCTGCAACAACGTATCGAATGTTTGGGAGACTGGAAAAACGTGTTCCTCCCCGGAATAATGATTTACTCATAGTTGTATTCTCAACCTCGGCCGAAATGTGGCACTAGTAGATGGGACCAGATGTCAAAGCTTCACAACTTACCATTATTTGATAAAGACAAAAAGAACTGCGATTTTGGAAAGTTTGATTGAAATTTCGATCAACGGAGTTTTTCAATGCCTGGGACTGAATGGCGGACGCTATCAGGCACGCATCCGATTTTCTTATTATTACAAATCACTAATGACTTTTGATTTATATCGGCCTTATTTCCGAAAGTGTGGTATCTTGCTACAACTAGTGCTACTTGTGGGTGGAGACTAAAAGTTCGACGACGCGTGATTTATTTTAGGGGTGAAAAATAATTCCATTTTCCCACACACCTTTTTTTCATGCAGTGTAAAAGTTTTATGATTGTTGTCTGTCCATGTCTATAGCACTAACTTGTCGTTTCACAGAACCATGATTTCACTCGAGTCAGACCTATTATACGTGTTAGCAAATTAATCTAGCTCATCCGATTGGCATCGGCGAGTTACGCATTTCAGCATTCAAACTCAGCTCCGAACACCGTCAAGTCTGTCATTCCTTGCCTTCCTGCTCCGACGATTTGCACGAATGATATCTCCTCACGAACTAGGGATCCTGGGGCGTGGAGCCTCTGGGACGGTTTGCGTACTTCTGGAATCCCAAGAAACCACGGTAGTCATCAAGCCCACTGCTCCTGTTCCACGTCTTTTCTTTCCATCGAGTTGAAACCTGAGATATTTCTGGTTTCGGCGGCGTGTCGTGCGGGAAGGCTACGATGATGGCTCCAGGGGTGATGGTTAAGGGGCCATAGAGCACAACGGCCGTGTAGACCACAAACGCGATGACCGACATGGAGTACCCGGGGATCCAGAGGTAGGGCACGGAGAGTTTGAATCCCGAGACCACCATCGTGCTTCCCGAAGAGAAGAGAACGCCGGCCAAGAAGAGCACGATGCGAGACATTCGGTTGGGGTGAAAACTGGCCGGTTTTACCTTGAGCACAGTCTTCAATTCTGCAAACAATGGAAACTTCTAACTTGATGCGAAAAATTAGATTGACTGGCTCACATTACCTAGCTTCCGGGCTTAACGCCATCACACGACCACACACACAAACAAATTTAAGCGAATGTTTGTATAAATTTAGCCACCCTGGGTCGGGTTGTTACCAATCACGATGCAGACAAAATAATTAAACTTCGCATTGACGGGTACGCTATGTGACACTGAAAGCTCAAGTTAAGTTCAATGCATTGTGCACGTGCGTAAGAGCAAGCGCCGCACTCTTTCGGCGGGCCCAAATGTTGATGGGTTGCCGATCTGGAGCTCGCGCTCGTAGAGCAATAAAATGAACTCGTGGTGGGCTGTCATTGCGTTACGCTGCTTTAACTCTGGTCGACGTTGGATACTAAACGAACCGTGAACCTCATATACGACCGTGTGAAACGTCACGCTCAGTAGGACATCGATCGTAGACTACCTTTTTAAGTGAAAAACATATTTTCCGCCAGTTCATTCCCCTAACTTTTCTCGGTAGATCACAATGATTGGCCCTTGCATTACGTATACCGGCGAATGTAGACGCCTGGAAATCTGTTAGGGTCCCCAACAGTGTAAAAAACCACGAGGCGCGGCTTCTTCTTTTCTTTTTTTTCGAGCGTTTTATTTTTTTGCGATTTTTCATTCGGCAGTCTTATTGGTTAATGATTTGGAGCGATAATATCCTCACAGGCTCGCCACGCACTTCGTTTTGAAAGCGCTTATCTACAGCGTTTCACTTTTAGTCCACGCGGAGCCGACACTATGACCCAATGGAGTCACTCAAACAACGGAAAGAAGTGCATCGTCACGATAGATGTCGCCTTTGTGGCGTTTTGCCATCACTGACTGAAACCAATGAAACGCAGTGTATTTTCCCGAGTCCTGCACTTTCTTTTTGTGCCTCATTGGTTGAGCCGCTTGATAGAAAGCACACAAGGACAACCAGTGCCACTATGATGAGCTTTTGCACTGCTTGATCGGCTTTATTGAATCGCGCCGTTGGTTGAGGTCGAACTTCATGTGACACGGAGCATAGTGATTATGCTATGTAGAAACTTCGTTACACTGGTCTTTCACTCTAGTTAAACGGGCGATGATTTCTGACGAAGCTCTTACTTAACTGCGGTAGAGGCAACCTAAGCAACAGTTAGGCTTAAGCGTGGTTCGCAGTCCCAGCCAACTATACACTAGTCTGTACGGGTACCCTTATACGCGATAAGGTGTGTTCGACGTCAGACCTAGCTACGGTTAAAAGGCTGGTTCACGCATCTGCGTTGGTTGCGTTTGCAGGCAACCGAAACGACCGTAACGACAAAGTCGCCGGGACGAGAGTTCGCAACATACAGCGTGGCAAGCGAAGCAAGGAGTAACTTCGCGAAGCGATCCAGGAGCAACAGTTGTTTGCGGAGTTTCCGTCGTTACGGTTGTTTTCGGTTGCACGCGAACGCAGCCGTTGCAAATGTTTGAACCAGCCTCGAAAATGAGCGTGTATCCACGGAGCGTACCCGAGAGGTCAGTCCCGCTCGGCGGTCCGGTCACTTCGGCGAACATGATGATGAGCGTGTAGACGGTCACTCCGAGAACCATGATTCCGAGGCCGGCGCACCACTTTAGTTCGTCGTCCATCGCGACGCCGGTGACCGCGAAGGTGCCGCCGAGAACGAAGAGCAGCGCGCCGGTGATGAGCAGCAGGCGACTGTTCAGCGAGATGCCGTATGAGATAGGCGGCGGCGCCCGGAGCATCCTGGCTTCTGCGCCGGGGAAGGCGACATTAAGCTCCAATCGTTAACTCACTTCACCGATACCACCTAGGAGAAATGGTCTGCATATGGCGTTGTCGTTAGGGTATCTCCGATCCGCTTGAAGCGGCAGACACGCTGGAGCTCGGCAAGAGTCACCGATAAAGTGGAAGACGCGTCCGTCTTGGCATCGCCCGGCGCCGTGCTAACGGTGAGACGCTGCGATGCATGCTCTCGGCAATGCTAGCGAAAGCTGGGCGGAACAGGATAGACCCATTACACTCTGTTCAGCTAAGACTGCTGTCAAAGCTACAAGAGCGAGCTATTCTTCGTTGACCCTTAATCTGAGACTGCAGCCCAAGCCACAAGCATGTGAGCACGACATCGCCGCTTTGAAAAGTTCTTCCAGAACGCGAGCACTCGCGCTATAATTGCACACCTCAAAGCTAGGAGCACGGCTTGGCTTGCAGATTTGGATACAGTCTCAACTTAAGATTGAACGGAGTTTCTAGCCCGTGCTCCTGGCTCTGGGACGTGCATTCCTGTCGCGAGCGCTCGTTTTGTGGAAGAGCGTTTCAACCCAGCGCCCTTGTTTTCTCGTGCTTGCGGCCTTCACTGCAGTCTCAGCTTCAAAACGAATGGAAGGCGTTTTGGGGAGGAGGAAGGGGAGGGGATGAGGATGCGCAGGCAATATTGTCAAGGGGGACCTGACTTTGCTTCACTATAGCATGGTCTATACAGTGTGTCTTAGCTAACTTGTGCCAGAACATAAGCAAATCTGGCACACTAGAGGCGTGCCAAAACAACACGGTGTTCACGACACCGATATCTGCCCTTTTCGATATTATAGTTTCGGAGGTTCTGGCATGAAAACATATGTTCGCGTTTAATGGATCCACGAGCGACCATGAGCGGCTTTTAAACGAAACCCAGTGCTTTTGGTGAGCACGTCGAATGATCTGCCCAAGCACCCCAAACCGGAGATTACCAAAAAGGTGCATTGAGGAAGTCAACCTTATTTTTTGCCATATGCCAAAATAACAAGGTAGCACAAATTGCTTACTTATATTTTTAAACACCAGATTTGCGTGCAAACCTTTTAATACAAAAATTGTAGAGCGTCTTAAGAAGACATCCTATCGTAGCGTTTTCACCGATGTAGCGTTGGTGTGTCTACGTTTTTTGGGTTTTAAAGAAAGCCACTCCAGACAGATAAAGCGGAATTTGCACAAGAAATATATATACATTTTTTTTTAATTTTAATAGCGTATTGTCTTTTCTTTCAAACACGATCGATTTAGATTTAGAAAAAAAAGTCTTAAAAGACAATATTGCGTGATATATGTTGTACTTGATTTACTCCGGCAGTTAAAAAGACTAAAGGACAGGGAGTTCCCGATAAAAGGACCGTGTTTTTTGGCCGGGGTAAATATACTACCATCGCAGAAAGCTCTAACTCCGTAAGGACGTGAAGCTAGCGGTTAGGACAGAACTCAAAGTTTGGGAACATGGCATTACCTGGACCAAAAGATAACTGAAAAGAACGAAATGTTTCTATGAGCCCACGTCCACTAAAACCTAAGAGGCGGTACTCACCGTACGCCATATTTGAAGTGACTGCTCACGGCGCATACTCGGGAGGTGGTCTTATTAAGGGTCTTAAAAAGAGACAATCTTGATGGTGTGGAATGTGCGAGTTAAGAAGCGTTCTGGAAGCTTGTCGTCAATACCTGCTTAGCAGCGGCAAGCTCAGCTATTGCCTCCATAGAATACATTATTTATTGTCAAAAAATAAATTACACTGTCAGAACCTGTATCATACATTTCAAGGAAAAAGAACTTGTCAGCAAGAAAGAAAATATGTCTTACTGATAAATGTTTTTCACTAATATAAATCCCACAAGCGTCCACAGAGTGTTTTCTTGTGTTCACGATATTAGGCTTAGGTGGACCTTGGCTCATAGAAAATGTTCGTTTTCCTCGATTATCTTTTGGTACAGGCAACGTCACGTTCTCAAAATTTCAGGTTCTATTCTAACCGCTAGCGGCACATTCTAACGGAGTTTGAGCTCTCTGCAATGCATATTTTATTAACCTGGGTCAAAAGACCGGTTCTCTTTTTTCCGGGAACTCCCTGTAAATATGCTTCCTTAATCCCCTCTTACACGTAAATACGACTTTAGATAAATTGCTCACGTCCAAACAGTAAACAAAAATTATTGTACGAATAGTTACCGAAGCTGCAATTCGACGCGGCTATCAAAACGGGCATATAGATTTCTAAAGTGACCTCTCGCCGCTTGCTGCACCTTTAGTACCAACAAATTCAGGTGTTCACTCACACTTTGTCAGAAGATGCATGGTTCATGGCGTTGGTTGAGACCGCTGTCGAGCATATGGTTCAGAACACGGCTTCCGAGATGTCCCTGAAAACGAACGTCTGGAATAGAACATCATGGTGCTTCGTCTTCGTCATCTTTTCTATCACCTTTAAGAAAAAAGAACCATGAAATGATTTTTAACTTCTTCCTCCTTACCTTTAATACTCAACTGAAAGCGAAATGAGAAATCATGTGGTCGTGACGTGCTTGAACACAAGAGGCCACGAATCCAAGCTTCCGCCGTGCTTCCTAAGCACACCATAAAACCTGTGATTCTCAGGCGATGATAGGTGCCGTCACGGCACTAATTGGCCAAGAACGCAAATTCAAATATTGGTGGATGTATTCATTTTTGACACGCGCATACATTTGACGCAGTGCAGTCTTTTTCTCGTTCTAATGGTCCATCAAGATAATGTGATGGCCTCACCCGGGCAACATCAAAACGTTTCGGTGTTTTGTTATTTACCACAAGAAATGTTTTGACGGTCCCTGAGCTACAAAAAAAAAAAAAACCTTCTTATGGTCCATCAGTCACCCCCAGAAAATGTTTGATGGTCCACCAGACACCATCAAGTAAGCCTGTCGGACCATCAAAGAAGCTGCTGGGCATCAGAGAAGGTCTGTTGGACCATCAAGAAAATGTGATGGTTTGTCAAGAAGGTGTGATGTTTGATCAAAGAGGTCTGATGGGCCACCAGAAAAGTTTAATGGACAATCAAAACGTTCTGATGGCCTTTTTGATCGAGTCGTGTCCAATACGCACGTGAGCTTGGTTGAGCTGACTTGCTTGGTCATCGCGTATGTATCACAGTGAAAAGGCGGAGAGGTTTTCAAGTAAAAGAGGTACGAAATAGTTGACTATATTTGCAAATTTTCGTACCACAAATTAGGCTATAGGTTTCTACGATCGTGTACTAGATTTATTTTGGAGTGCTGAACGACATGCGATTAGTAAGATTCGAATTTATCCCAGCTAAACATTTAATTTATGGTTCATTAAAGCTGAGAAAGCAGCGAAGCGTGGAAGAGTGATAGAGCCCGGGTAGTGTGTACTAGAAGGTACGAGTGGGACGAGCTATAGGCGCCGTTTATGCTTTCAGTTGTACCTCAAAATGTAGAAAGCGATCTGGTGAAACCAGGCCACTTCGATCGCAGCGCCACCTTTCCTGCGATCAAGCAACGACACAAGTCAAGGACATATAAGCAATATAGCCCCTTAGGTGCTATAATGTATTTTTGTGATTTTGACGCCAGAGGGATCGTCAAAGCACCACGACACAACGACGCCACAACGTCATCGTCGACGACGTTACGCGACGCCAAGATGCTGCCTAAAGGCTGAACTCCATGGGACGAATATGCTGCGAATAAGCGACAAATTTTGTCCGGCGGCTTTTGCTCTGCGCGTGGAATCAACACAGTGGCTGTGACGTCGCGCGCGAAGCGAGCGTGCCGTCGGGTGGCGTTCGCCAGTCCTTCGTCACATAATTCGTTCCATGGAGTTCAGCCTTAAGGCCGTCGTGACATCTTGTCGCGTCAAAGACTGAGACAACTGAGACTTCATGTCGCGTAACGGCGTTGTCCTCAACGGGACGCGATGTCACGACCGCGTCACAACGGCGACTTGATGTCGCGTCACGGCGTCGTGACATCTTGTCGCGTCGAGGACGACGCCATTTGGCGACCTCAAGTAGATGTTGTAACGCGGTCGGGACGTCGCGATGAGGACGACGCCGTTACGCGACATCAAGTCGCCGTTGGGACACGGTCGTGACATCGCGTCGGATTGAGGACGACGCCATTACGCGACATGAAGTCTCAGTTGTAACGCTGTCATGACGTCGCGCGCCACATCGAGGACGACGTGGACGTGGTCGTCGATGTCGAGGTTGACGTTGACGCCCCACGAAACGTCAAACATCGCTATGACGTCACGTTAACATCGACCACATCCACAGCTTAGTGTCGCGCAGACCCACATTCTCCGTAAAATCCAGACAAACACCCTCGTCACACCTGCTCGCCTTTACCTCTTCCGCTATCGATCAGACCCTTCCTGTCCCAACTGCCCAGCTCCCTATGCCAATCAAGAACATTGTCTCCTTCATTGCCCGGTCGCCTACACCACCTCATTTCTTCCTAACCCCCCACCACCCTCCTGGAGTGCATGGTTGGCGTCGCCGCAACTGGAAGATCAGCTCGCCCTGGTACTTCAGGCGGAGGATATCTTGGGTACTTAATCTGTGCTCTAATTAAAGTGATTTTCTCTCTCTCTCTCTCGTCCTGACGTAATTTTGAGCGTCAACGTCACGACGAAGTCTTGACGGGTGTAACGTCGTCGCCTTCGCAAGCATCAGCGTCGACGCGCAGTCATGACGTCATGTAACGTCGTCAACGATGACGTCGACGTCGTGAAGCTGTCGGGACGTCTTCGTGACGTCGAGTTGCGTCATGTCAACAACGACGTCAACGAACTGACACCAAGCGTCCTTATGACATTGCATTGACAAGGACGCCGTCATCTTGACGTTCCGTGACGTTGTCGTCGTCATCATCAATGTCAACGTTGACATCGTCGTCGTTGTCAACACAATATGACGTCATATCGCAGTCTTGATGT